AGCCCTTGAGTCTGCATCAGAGCAGCACGAACTTCTATTTGAGTGGGAATGTCTTGGCCACAAAACAGAGCTGTGTCTACAGGTGCATGGACCCAACTCTGTGAATCAAGCTCTGTTTCATCTTCTGGGAAATATGGTCAGTAGCCCTCAGAGTGAGCCTCCGGAACTGCTCAAAGTGAAGGAACTGTAACAGCAAAACTAAAGACATGGCACTGGGTCAATTTCCAAGACATATACTATCAGAACAAAGAAGAAATGGTGACCTTGAATTATGCATGAACCCAGGAATTCACAAGTTAAGAGTATGTTAGAAGGTCATTGTAGGAATATAGAAAACCATCCACAATGAGCAAAACAATTAAAAAGCAACACACTCCTAAAACCCCAGCACCTGGGGAGAGGCTGAGGTAGGAGGATCATGACTTCAAGGCCAGCCTGGACTACATAGTGAGATCCTGTCTCAAATACACGCACACACATGCATATACACACACATACAAAAGGAGAAAATATGGTCACAGCACCTCAACAGACCTTTTCTGACTTACTTGGAAGACAAGAGAAGGTAAACAAAACCTACCTCCAGTGTAGAGAACCAGAGGGCATTAAGTCTTTTCCGTCTGAATGAAGTAAGGTCAGGGGTCAGGTAGAATGACCAGCTCTTGGAAAATCCCTATGACTGAGAGTTTCCTGAGGTACCTGGCCTTGGGTGCTGAAGTTGGGAAGTGCAGACAAACCAGGGTGTCACTATAGGATCATACCAGAAGGAAAACTTCCTTGAGCTGAGCAACTTGGCAATACATAATGGAAAACAACCTATTTATTCAATGTTACTCTGAGAGATGTAATTAAAATTTCTTAGTGATGATTTCCTACCCCCAGTTCTCACGTGCTTAATTAACCCTTTAATTTGCAGAGGGTTTCAGAACACCTCTTAAGCATTGCTCAATAAAGCCCTATGCAGGGCCACAATGCAAAATGAAAAAGCGTATGTGACAGACAAATGGACATCACAGTGACTAAGGACAGGCTGCAGTGACTTTTTGAGGTTGAAGAACCATCTTAGAATCTCGGAAGACAAGGCCACGAAGCCCAAGTTTTCTGTGCCGATGGAAGAATAGAGCTGCCAGTGGCACCCACTTCATGCTACCATTCTGAGCAGTCTCTTCTCTCCAGTGTATGTTGACCTTGCTCTCTGCTGAGCCTGAGTATCACCTCTGCTTGAAATTTGCTTTCTCACACATGTATACACAGACACACACCCACACACCATTGCTCTATATAAACACTTCTGGTGCTTCTGTGGTCACCTAAGCTAATTCCTGTCACAATGTGGTATCACTGCACCTTAGCTAGTCTATATTCTCCAATCAAATAGGACATGTTATTTTTTCCCCCTTTAAACTCCCATGGCAGATATAACCTACTTCTGGGTATGGAAACCATAACCATTTGAATGGCAGAGGCATTGTACTCACTTAGATATTCTCATCATATACAAGCACCTTTCTTGTTAGCTTCTGGGTGTCAGATTCACAACATTCAGCAGTAATGAGCACGGAACTAAAGGGAGATAAGATGTGTGTGACCACTGAGCAGGCTGACTTTACAGAGCAAGCAAGGAATGTCAGTGTCGGAAGGGACCATCAGATGTGACCATTTCACCAAGCCTTCTCATTCTTCTAGGAGAAAAAGAGCCAGACAGGTTAAGGGATAGGCCACCTCGCTGGGTGAGGCAGAGCTAGGATTAAAACCTGGTTTTCAGTTCATTTGTTTGTGCAGGAAGCCTTCAATATTCTCCAACCACACTGGCCTGTTTACTTTTTCTTTCTTGGCAATAATTGGAATTGTTCTTTCCTCTTACCTCCCAGTTTGTTCTTAGACTCTAGCATCCTTTAGGTTTAGAGCTTGACTATAAAACATAACAAGATTGCAGTTGCAAAGTTAGTAGTAGGACCCTCACAGGCATTCACCAAAAGCCAAGGAGCCTACCCTGAAGAGTACTGTTAGCCCTTCATGGATGGCAAAGCCCAATTAGAAGCAAAGCCAAGGACAGCAAAGCACACACATGAACTTTTGCCACTTTTGTATTTTATTGTGGAACTGAGGTTTGTTTTTTTTTTTGTATGTTTTTTTTTTTTTTT